TTTAGGATACATCATATTCCAAACAGTGGAAATAGCTATCAGCACTGGCAATTTTGGAATCATTAAGAAGTAGCTTGCTTCTCATTGGTGAGTGTATGTTTGTCAGTTTTATTGTATTACTTTTAATAAAATGAAAACCTTACTTTCAAAATATAACCATGTAGAATATTCAGAATACTTTTAGCCAGGAATCTGAATCTTGTAAAAATGAAAGCACACCCCAGCTCAAAGAAAGAATGACAAAGATATCTGCAGAAAAATAAAACAAAAAGAAAATTTACTTATACTTTATATGTAATATTTATATTCTCAGTTAAAAATAAGCATTATTGTAGAATTTTTCTCCAGTGCTACTAAGAAATATAAAGAATTCTTGAATGTTTTGCATAAGTGTTTTGAAAACATCAACAGGTGATAGTTAAAACCAAAGAGACAATTATGAATAAAAACTAACAAAATATCTTAAAATCATAATTATCAGGAATTGTTGAATGTGCACATAAATGTATGAAAACACCAATGTTGTCCTTGAACTATGTGCTAACCAATAAAAAGGCGATTTTATGAGGATCCTTTAAAATAGTCACTGTTAAATATTTCATACATGAAAGGAACGAAGAAAATATGCAACATTGTGTATTTCTATTTTCTTTTTTTCCACAATTTGTATTTTAAATGTACATTTAATATATGCTGATTTTAAAAAGGCCTATGAAGAAAGTTAGTATCATTTCACCAACTTCATTCATTCCCTCCATCATAAGATTAAAAAAATTGGCAACCAGATATATATTTGTACAATTCTATCTCATTTTCATACAAATGTATGTAGTGATATAGACATATTTCTTAACAAAATGACATCATAGTTTATACAGAATATGGCAGCTTGCTTATTATTACTATGTTTATTTTCATAACATTTCACTTCTTTCTTTTTAATTTTTTTTTTCATATTTGCATACAATATTTGGGTCATTTCTCCCCCTTCCCCGCAACCCTTCCCTTACTACCCACCCTGCCCCCTCCCTCTCCCCCTACTCCCTCAATACCCGGCAGAAACTATTTTGCCCTTATCTCTTAATTTTGTTGAAGAGAGAGTATAGGCCATAATAGGAAGGAACAAGGGTTTTTGCTGGTTGAGATAAGGAGAGCTATGCAGAGAGTTGACTCACATTGATTTCCTGTGCGTGGGTGTTACCTTCTAGGTTAGCATAGATGAATGGGACTTCATAAAACATTTCATTTCTTCACAGATATTTTTTACTGGATCATTTATATTTTGACTTTACGAGATCTTAGTTTGTGTTTCTTAGGAACGTTTTAAACACAGGAATACTGACCTCTTTATTATTCTATGAATAAATCTTTAAACTGTCCCATAATTTTTAGTATGAGACAGAATTCTGACAATAAATTCTGTTCTTCTACTGAATTAAACTAGTATCTTTGCAATTACTTAATCCACATGTATTTATCTAAATTTACTTTTTAAGTTCTGTGCATATTTTCTTCATATTTTTCTGTTATTGATTTCTATACTAGTATATTATTTGCAATAATTTTGTTATATTCTGACATAATTCTTCATGACTTCAGTAATTTTAAATTTGTTAGATTCTATTTTATGGTTCAAAATGTTTCATGTGCATCCAAAAGGAAATTTTTTGAACTTTGCTGTCAATAAAAATTATTTAAAATCAGTCAATTTATATTTTTGTTCATATTTTCTATATCCTCAGATTTTTTATATACTTATAGTACTGATTACTTACAGAAAAGTGTTGAAATCTACAGATGTATTTTGCTTTTACTTATGCTATAAGCAAATAGCAAAATGCTAATAATTCTATATTAGACATTCAATTATCTTTCTTTGTACCATAGTTTTATTTTTTATTACTTTTTAAATTTTATTGTTTTTGCATTTACTGACATGTTCAATTATCTTTTAAAACTATTTGAAATAAAATTTGACTTTATCTTTTTCATTTTTATTGCAGTAGATTTTATTCAATTAAATATTTTATTTAACAATATATCTGATTGAATGTATCTTTATGCAATTTGCAAAACTCTTTAGTTTTTGTTATACAGATACAAGTGGCTACTGCTTTTGTATGTATTCTATATGAAATACTCATTTTTGAACAATTTTTGTGGCTCACATCTGCAGTAAATAAATTCTCCCTGACTTTTGTTTTCTTAAAAGGTATCTCTCCTTCCTTCTTAAAAGATCTTCTCAATGGCTAAGTGATTTCGTATTGAGAACATTATTTTTCTTCCACATGTTATCCATTGTATTCTGGATTTTATGGTTTTATCTGAGAATTGTGTTGATTTTTTTTTAATCCATGTTTCTAGGAAAGTGTATTTTGTCTCTAGCTGCTTTAAAAATTTGCTTTTTGTCATTGGTTTTGAATAATTTGACAATATGTTTCCAGGTTTTGTTTACTTCTTTAGTTGGTTGGAATTTAGCATGTTGGTTGTTTCTAAGATCTTATCTTCTGGTTTGATATATTTCATTAATTTTGGAGATTTCTCCATTAATTTTTGAAATATTTCTTCTATCCTATTTTCTTTCATCATCTAGTGTCATCTTAGTTACTCCTCTGTTAGACTCTGATTATCCACAGCTATTATACATTCTTTTTTCTTTCTCTTCCTTCTCTATCCTTTCTTTCCCCTCCTTTCTCAGAGATGTTATTCCCCGGATGTGGCAGAAGTTCTTACATAGTTTATACTTGGGTTATTCTTCTGAGCTTTTCCAATGATAATATCTTCAAAAAACTTGCTTTATTTTTTCCTGGGTGCAGAAGACCCCAACTTGATTCTGCTGAGTGACACAGTATTCAGCTCTCCTCCAGAAATTGAAGGCTTTGTTTCATAATTGATTTGGGGAAAGTGGATGTAGGTGGGCCTTCATACTTTTCCCATAGAAATTTCTATCTCTCGGGTAGCTTTCATGGGTATCTTTGCTTGCCCTTTCTTCCTTGAGAGCACCCTATGTGGCTCAAGGAATAATGTCAGTCAGTGAGGCCAGAAGTTATTTACTGTCTTACTAACACACTCAACATTTAGCAATTTTTTTAAAGTTTAAATGAATTCTTTTTAGCTTATACTGTGCTTGACATCTGTTTCAGGTAAGCAAGGGCTCCTCACATTCCAGCTCTTCTTGGAGGCACATTTTTTTGTTTGTTTGGTTGGTTTTATATAAGAACTTTTTAAAAATTATGCATTCCTGTGCAAATTTAACTGTCTCACACATTCTTGAATAAACTAGGCAAGTAAAGTATGTATCTTTAAGTTTTACAAAACAATAGACTAGAAGTGATTCAGGAATCTTTGCATTAACCATCTTTTACATATTTTTACATTTATTGATCTCATATGTTTTATTAGTGGCCTCTCCCAAATTTCTAAGGAAATTTCTGTTCTAACACCACCACATTATCTTGTTCCAGAACACAAAGTAAGATAAACAGACTCTCAATTTACTTTTCACAGTAGCAAAATTTTTATTCCTAAATCTTATAAACAGCAGTAAATATGTGAGCAATATAATTAATGAATCTAGATTCTGATTCTAATAAATCTTTTAAAGGGAACATTTAAAAAATACCTGAAAGAAAAAAACACCTAAAATCATTTCAATGCTTAGAAAATTGACTCCTGTCTTCAAGTACAGAGTGAAGGACCTGACTTGGCCTCTACATAAGGCAGGAGAAACTGGAACTTGAATTGGTAGTGGATCACCCAGGGTAGCCATTGCAAGCTGGGCTCTCTCTTCCTCATCTTTCAAAACTTCCCTATACAAGATAGGAAGGATGTGGGGTTACTCCCACTTGACCTTAGAGCAAAACTTTAGGACTTTTATCTTGCTGGTTTCAGCGAGAGCCCTTGGGCTCCACAGGAACACAGAGCATACAGGATCACTCTGGGGCACATGTGGATACTTCAGGTACTGCTCCTGCATGAAATCTTCAGTGATGACCTTCCTGGGATCTCCATAGATGCAATCCTTCCAGCATACACCAGAATGGTATGCAACACCTCTCAGATGTTCTCCTCATGGGCACAGTTCCCCTAACGAAGACCATGCTCAGAACAAGAATCAGGAAGCCAGTCTTGGGCAGGACCTGGTCATCATGCACCTCCATCCTAGGTGATACCTAGCATTAAGAGGAGTGGCTGTTGGGATCCACTTCCTTCACTTCAAAGCCAAAGACCACCTCCAAGCATTCTCGGTCATTCCTGAAGATCCTAGGGAAGAAATCCTTGTGGTCTTTGATGACACTTTTCAGCATTTCTGCCTCTGTGATGAGCTCCCTTGTTGTACACTTGACACTCAGGAATTTCACCAGCCACTTCCTTCTCCAGAGAAGTACTGAGCAAGTACTCAGAATCTGGACAGGCCTCTGCGGTTCTTGGAACTTCCTCTTCTTGGCCACTGGGCTTTCCTTTGATTTGCTTGACAGTGTGGCTTCCATGGTATTGGAAGAGGAAGATGCTTTCTGAGAGCTAAACAGAGAAAGAGGAAGATGTGGCACCATTTGATTTATGAAATTATTACTTAAGAGTTAGTTATACTTTTATAAAAATGATATCTTTGTTTATGTCAATGAAAATAAATTTTAGTTCTTTGTATCAGGATATTATTAAATTTTATATGTATATATAAAGGCATCTATCATGACAATATGTATCAAAAAAAGTTTGAACGAAAATGTAAATGATATGTATTTACAATACAAACTACCGTTGAGTAAAAGGCCAATTAATACTAGATGCTTTCTGGTTAATTAATGCTTACAGCTATTCTGAAAGAAATTAATTACTATACCCTTTTTACTTTAAAACAAATAACCCAAAATGACATTTATGTCCTTTGTAAATATACCTTAGTTGCCCTACACTAAATAACTTTGTTGTTGATTTACTTTGCTTTCTCATGAAAGTATTTGCATATTTTGTTCATCATTTTTTGGTTTTGCCTTTAGGATTTGATACCAGTATTTTGCCAATTTGCAAAGATTCACTTGGTTGGATGTTTAATAGACTTGATACAAACTATGACCTGCTGTTGGATCAATCAGAGCTTGGGAGCATTTACCTTGACAAGAATGAACAGTGCACCAAGGCATTCTTCAATTCCTGTGACACATACAAAGACAGTTTGATATCTAACAACGAATGGTGCTACTGCTTCCAGAGACAGCAAGGTAAAGATGAGACACCTCTAGATTCAAATAGTTGACCTGATTTCAAATTTTATGTATTCCTTCTTGGAAAAAATGAACATTATACTTTGTGTCATTCATTTTGATATAATGTTTTCTGAGTGTTTAATGAAAGAGCAAATAAATAGCAAGTTGAACAAAATAATTCTGCTTAAGATGCAAACATGCTAAATAAGATGAAAAATGGTAATTAATATTTTACATTAATGAACTTCATTATACTTTCCACTATGAACCAACAAGGAGCACAGAGATATGAGAACATGCATGTTAAAAGTAATCATTAAAATTAATCTGCTATCTGCTTTGCCCATAGTATAAAATAAATGGGTTTTTTATCACTCTACTGTGGAGTTTTAGTGTTCAATTTTGTGATATTATTAAGTGAGCCAAATGAACCACAGCATTCACCATAAAGTTATTTTAACACATTTTATTTTAAAATGACTTAATCTTTCAACCTTTTCAAAATAGTTTCTAAAATAATTTTTAAAAATTCACATGTAAAAAGGTGCTTTAGTACTCTTGAGGAAGAAAGCACAGATGGAAACTTGGAATGTTCTGGTTTTTATACAATATTTTATTAGGAAATGTAAGTGCAAGGTAGAGTTTGAGTCATGCTTACATCATCAATTAAAGTATATTTTATGAAGTAAATATAGGGACACATCTAAAAAAACACATTGTGATAAAGATTTGGAAAGAAAAGGAAACAAATGTTATACATAATTTCATGCTAAGGTTTTAAAAACTATAAACAACTTTAAATGAAAATTTTTAAAATGGATTTGCTACATTAAATATTTTAAATTACACATATAGATAAACACACCTTGTTGACTTTATTGCATATTTATATTCTCAATAATCAAATACTCCTAAAACCTACAAATGTATCTGTATGTTCGGGTAGTGACCTCTTAAGAAGTGTCACTACCACTTTACAATGACTAGTCCATAGCCAATGGGAGGATTGCCTTCTAGATGATATTGAAATTTCAGCTAGACTCTGTCCTGCTATTTCTGAGGAAATGTCATATGTGGAGGTAGTTAAGTTTAAAGACCATGAAATGCATCTTTGCTCATTTTCCTTTAATACTTAGAAATTTGTGAGATTATTAGAAAAAACCAAGGTGTCAGTTCGATCAGTTTCAAGATGAAATACAGCTGTGAAGTAATTATTAAGGATTTTCAGATAAATTAATATTCTACACATTTTAAATTCTGCAAGGTGAAATATTTAAACATATCACACCACAAAATATACTAACCACCTTATCTTAATCCTTCATTACACTTTGTACTTATGTGTCATTTAATAATGTAATATTTTGAAGTTGATGTGTTATACAATTTCAAAATTATTTGAATTAACCATATCTTATCATTTCCCTAAAAAATAGTGAAGGAAAACAGAAATTTGTTATTTTCCTACTTTAATAGTTTATGATGAAGTTTTTATGTAGCATCATGGCAAGTTTTTACAATTGGAATATAAAATGCATTAAAATGTTATGAGAGAAAACATATGATTATATATATAATGATATAAACATATTATATATAATCGTATAAACATATACGATTATATATATGTATATATATATATATATATATATAGCAATAATATAAGGAAAACAGGAATTAATTAGAATGTTACACTTCACTACAAATGTTCTCTTTTGAGTAACTGAATTTGAAAACTAGACAAATGCCTATTTCCAATTGGTCAAATATTTAGATTTATTTTTACACAATGACGTATCAGAAATTATTATATATTATTTCCTGTCTCTAAATTTCATATTTGTAATTTGTATACTTGAAGCATTTGAGTAAAGCTAAAAAGACCAAAGGACATTTTTAATACTATGTAATATTAAAAGTTGTATCTCTGACATAATTAGCATTAACATTCATGGAATTTTATAATGCAAAACTTATGAGCAAAATTTGACTAGTTGTTTGGTCAACAATTAATGGATTTATATTGATAAATTGATGCAACTTTTAAGAGTAAATGATAAGAAGCATTTTCCATCAGATAAGTATTTTATGTCATGTTCTGTTTTCATCCAACTCAGTCATTGTAAGGAAGCCAAGGTGATTTAGAGGATCTAGCAAGAATTCAGAGAGCATATCTCTCTCTCTTTCTCTCTCTCTCTCTCAGTCTCCCTCTCTCCTCCCCCCAAACACATTTCTATCTGAATGTATCTTTATAAAAAGTTGGTCAAGTTTGCAATATAATTAGGTCAACTAATACATAATATGTACTTTCTAAATGCCTGAAAAGACTACCTGAAGTTTGATAATGTAGACATTACATATTCTTTGTTTAACTGTAATCTTTGAAGTGACATTTTTCATGTCACTACAGACCCACCTTGCCAGACTGAACTCAGCAATATTCAGAAGCGACAAGGGACAAAGAAGCTCCTAGGTGAGTAATAGCTCCTTCTTCTGAAGGCTTTATTGCTACATATATAACCCTAGCGAAACAGCAACATAAAATCAATATTAATCCAACACAGATAGACTGCACTAAATTTCAGCAACAAAATTTATGAATTTTTTGAAAGCTATTAAACTTACTTTTATTACTTCACCTATTGAAAGATAATATGTCTATTTTATTACCTTAATATAATGTTCATTTTGAAAGTTATTAAGTAAAAAAGAGATTTAAACAATACTAAAGTTAAAACATCTGCAAAAACTTCTAATTCTTTGGTAACAATTTAATAATTTTTGTGATATATAAATATGTGTATGAGAAAATATATAGTATTTAAAGCAATTACTTGTACAGATTTGGTGAAAAATTGTAACTCAGAGAAATTTGAGATTTTTAGTGTTATCCATTCATTATTTTATTACTTTATTTTGAAAAAGTAATGTAGATAGACAGATAAGTAGATAGAAATAGATACATAGATAATAGATAATTCTAATTTCACCCAAAGCTTTAAAATATGTGAATGTCTTTCTATCAACAGTTCATTAAATCATTACATTTGATTATTATGTATTCTTATAAGCATAAAATTTTAAATTAATTCATTTTACAATAATTTAAAATTCCTAAAAATAACATGCATAGATAGCAGTTTCAGTAAATCCCTCAACATCTTTTTGCACCAAATTATCTTAGTAGATTTATAAAATCTAATAAATTAATAATATTATACTCATACTTACTAAGTGTAAGACTTTATTTGTAATTCACCAGTTTTGCCAAAAGTGTTCTTTTCTATTTTAGTGTTAAAAGCAGGACCCCACATGGGCTGTGCTTCTCTTCATATATATTGCTGCATTTGTCTATTGAATAGTTCTACTTAATCTTTTCTATGTTGTATTGTGTTTTCCTTGCAATTATAATAGAACATCTTCAAATAAGAAGAATTTTCATATCACTCATAAGTCCTTAGTTCAGTACCCATTGTACAAAATAAAAGATTTAATGTTTTGTAATAAAGCTTTTCTGGTGTGAAAATGACTGATAAAAACCACAACGTGTCATGTTTTTTTAAAGACTATTTCAAGATGTATGCACTATCATAGCTAACAAATGAAAATAATACACTTTTACATAAAAGTATTTTTCTCTACAATTCAAAGCTTTGCCTCATACGATGGGATATGTCATTCAGATGAATCTGGAAAATATTTTAGACTTGACCAAAGTCTATTGGAAAGAAAATTTATTAAATGACAGACAGACTTTGATTATTTGAGGTTACAAAAAATAAAAAACACACCAAATTCTCACTTGGCAGAAGTCTTTTTTACTGTTCTCTTATTATATAAATAAAAGTCATTACTAGAAATACTGAATGTAGGTCAAGCATGGTGGTATATACCTATAATCCATCTACTCTCAGAAGGCAGAGATTGGGAGGATTGTAGTTTAAGGTCAGTCACAACAAAAAGTTAATGAGACCCCATGTCAACAACAAGTTGTATTGCTGTGCATGACAGAAATCCCAGCTATGAAGAAGGGGTAGATAGGAAGATTGTAATCCAAGTCCAGCCCCAATCAGAAATTCAATACTGTATTTGAAAAATTACTAAAAAAAGAACAAAAGGAGAAGTGACTGAGTGAAGGCATGGCTCAAGCTGTAGATTGTCTGCCTGAGCAAGCAGGAAGCCCTGAGATCTAACCTCAGTAGTGTCAAAAAAAATTATTGAATGCCTTAAATATTCCTTCTGATTTGGATAGGATAATGGAATAATGGCACAGTTCTGGAAATTGACCGAGTTCTATGCAGGAGTAGGCTGTCCAGTGTGCGGTTCATACGTACAATGCCAGCATTGTTGTTAATGATGTCTTGTTTAACTTCCAATATACTGACAGAAAGATAAGCTGATAAATATAGCATTTTTGTGTCTACTCATGATATTTTTAAAGATGCAGACATTAGAAGTTGGTATTTTTTCTTATTTTTTACATCCTTAAGTCCACAGAAGATGTTCACAATGTTTCCATGTCAAGAATGTGATGTCCACATCACTAAAAGATTATTGCTTCAGGTCCTTGGAGTGCATTGCACACTTTCAATTAAATTTATCATCTGTTTATCAAAACATTATAACTTCTTTGAGGAAGTAAAACAACAGTCCATATGTTTGAAAGACTAAATGACTTCATATTTTATCCATTTACTCAGCTGTCTTTTTGTTTAGCACATAACATTGATGTTTCTGATCACAGAAAAAAATGGTCAGAAAGATTCAGTTTTCTGATCTTCTAGAATGTATTTAATGTTGAAGTTTTTGTGGAAGGATTTGAATGCACTTGTAAATTATGAATTAAATACTTATCAATAGCAATGCATCATATACTTGTTAGATATTATAGATAAAAAATAACTATCTACCGTTGACACTTTCCCACCTTAGTTTTAAGAGATGTTTTTTATATAACAGTGAAAGACCGAAGAATCAAATATTTCCAAACACAGAGAATATCACAGTGTAATAGTGACAATATATGACAGCACACACACATATGCACACATACATGCACACATACAAACCAGAAGAGTATATCAGACCAGATCTCCTTCAGTGTAGGAGATCCCTTCATACTGGGGGTCGCATTTAAATCTTTAAATGAAAGTGGAAGTGATGGAGAAGACTTTCAGTTGATATAGGCAGTGGGTAAAGTGAAAAATCATAGCTTGATATAGAAAGATCATGAAATATATGATAAAAAACTTTTGGAAAAAAAACAGAAAGTTGTCGGTGATAAGATAGATTGGGTCTTGTATGGGGTGTAGATAATTTAATATGAGCACAGCATTAATTGGATTTTAATACTGTGTTAAACCTCTGAAGACACTGCCCTTTCCAGAGTATGAAATGTTAAGATAATAATAATGTTAATAATTTTCTTAACACAGTATATCAATCTTTGACATGTAAACAGTCCATTATGACTGCAGTGACACCACGACAACTGAGACCATACATGGTTTACTTTATAGGCATCGCTAGAACATGGTTTGAATATGGTGGACAGCTCAACATGTCTATGTTGTAAGCACATTAATGTATAATAGGTGCTATGACAAAGGAGCCAGCTTATCCCATAACTTGCATATGTGTGTTTGTACATGACTGTGTATGTTTCAACAAGGGCAGTACACTCCCACTGTGTGATGAAGGATGGCCTACCGCTATAAAAAGGTAATATAAAAATAAAAAAATAAAAATCATAAAAAGAGAAGGAACAGAGGAGCGGACCCGACGGAGCCAACAGAAAAGAGACGGCACGAAGAGCAGATGGAGGGAGCCAAGGCAATCAATAGATATAAAAAAGTGGATGAAGAAGTGTGTAGTAACTCAGCGAGCCTGAAAAAGAAGAAACTAAAGCCAACAAGTGCTGATCTAATAGTCCAGTCTAAAAGCGATAAAAATTCAAAAAAGTACAAGGGTCACAGGGAGGTGCTAGGATCTGCAGGGGAAAATAAAGGGAGGGCAACCCATGCCATGGCAGTGCTGGGCAGTTGTTGGGTGTTGACAGATATGGAAATGAAGTCATAGGCCTCCAGAATAAATGGGTTGCAGATTGTGGTAAGAGGAAATGTTGCTTTCTCTAATAACTTCCCAAACACAGATTGAGTACTTCTGAGCTTCATGAATTTCAAGTATTTACTGAAGACATAATTTATGGTGACTATAAAGCATGTAAGAATGGAGGGAGTGACAAGAAGACTTCCTTCCAGCATATTAGACAGTTGTATAGATAATATGTGGAATTGCATAAATTAGATATATTAGGGAGAATAAATAAAAGCAAGGGTCCTTCTACTTCAAATCAGAAAATTGTTAAGTACAGATAATGCAGACTCTTGTCAGTCATTCTACTCCAAGTTAGTGAAACCCAGTGTATAGTATTTGCATGTTCCCATATGGAACCCTTTTGTCTGCATACCTCTGGAGAGAATGAATTAAAGAAAACATAAGCTCATCCTAAACTATAACAAAAAAACCTTTTTAAAGTTGTATCAATTGTAGCTGTATCAGCATAATATATATTTCCTTATGCTTGGGTGAGGAAAATGTGGTTTACTTATTTAAAGGGTGATTACAGTTAATTTTTTCATTCTCTTTTGTGAACATACATTTCTATGTTTATATCTCAAATAATGTAACTAATTGAGCATCATATGTATACACTTTAAAGTTTCAAATGTGGCATCTTTAGTGCTTCAGAAAGTACTTTTCCAGAATCAAAGACTGAAATCAAAACTTGTGTTATTACTATAAACAGTTTTAGCAACAAAACTATTTATGTACACATATTCCATACAGACTTATACAGCAGGAACTAATGTATTGTGTTTTGACTAATACTAATGATCAAAGTGAAAATTAAATACTTAGTCATGCATTTTAGAACATGCTTAAATGTCTCCTTTATTCAGGTTTTAGATTGATTGACAAAGATTACTTAGGAAATGATTAAGAGGAAACAGTAAAACAAAGTCTCATTGACCTCTAAATTCCTGTTCTCATTTATTTATTCCTCTAACATTTTTAATAAGCTTTGTTTTGGATTTCTGACATAGCCAATGTGAAGTAGATTTAATTGGGAATATAACTTACATAATTTTAACACATAAGGGACATATCTTTGTAATATATAGTTAAAAGTGTTTCATGATTAATTACTTCCATTATCTGTGATGCCGGTGATAGATCACGAATTTTAATGTTCTACGCTGTAATGAAAATTATTTGGAGATGAGTTAATAAATGAACCAAGAAATTATTTTTGGAAACAGATTTCTGAGTTTTTTTAGAATCTCATAATTAAGAAAAATGCATGCAGGTGGAATACAGAAACAACATTTTCTTCACTTAAGATGGGAATTCCAATGTCATATTGTGAAATCATCCAATTTGTAAACATTGAATTGCATGGGTAGGATTTGCTATAATGCACTACCCAAGAGTTATAAGAATAAATGGTAGGAGGAATGAAAAATAAAGCCACATTTGTAATTGAAAAGTTGAAAAGTAAACATGTGCCCATTTATATGTGTGTGTTATTGCCTCACAAATATTAATACTATCTTTAAAATGTCTGTTAAATGACTAGCAGTATTTGATTTAATGATACAGTAACAAAATACCTCTAAATTGGCTTAATCCAAACAATGTCACTATCTTGGGATTCAAAAAAGGTCATAATTCCAACAGGGCAATGCTCCTTTCTGAGGCTCTGGAAGAAAATCTGTTTTGTTCTCTTTTCTATCTTCTAGAAGCCATTCACATTCCTTAGCTCAAGGCTCCTTTTTCCTGCCAAAATCTATCAAACCAGATTTGCATGACTTTGATCATTCTTTGTGGTACTACCTCCCTCCAAGTCTATCTGGGAAGGTTTCTTAATTTTAAATACCCAAGTAACAATTTGAGTCCACATGTTTATTCCAGGATAATCTCCCCCACATTCAGGTCCTCAACCTAATTACATTGTAAAGTTCCTTTTCCACATAAAATTACACATTTACATGAATTAGGAAACAAACATTTTTTGAAGAGAGAACAGTTCTGCCTATCATACTGGTAGAAGAAATGTTAAATATTTTTTAATATTCGAAATTCTGACATGACATTCTATAAAGGCAGCACTGAGATCAATATTACTGAACTGGAACCATTATACCACACACTGAAATAATAATTCTGCTTTTCACACATACATTTTAACAAGTTGATAGAGCTTTAAGATGGAACAGCATTCCAGAAAATGTTTTTTTTTCTTATCTTACAAAAAAAGATGAACAAAATAAATTTTTATTAATTTTCCATTTTTATTAGAATTTTACATCTCTCAGAAGTCACAGGCAAACAAATGTAATATTTCTTTTTTAGCTATAGATTTTGAGATGTCTGGAGATTTTGCAAGTGGTGATTTCCATGAATGGACTGATGATGAGGACAATGAAGATGATATTATGAATGATAAAGATGAAATTGAAGATGATGATGAGGATGAAGGTGATGATGATGATGATGGTGATGACCACGATGGATACATTTGATCAGTGACAGAGGTCAACAAATTCCATATTTCAGTATTTACAAAGCGATAGCTTATTCAGAATTACCTTCTTGCCCCCAAACAAAATGATTCTAAGCCTCACATATATTTTGTATAATTATCTCAAATACTGCAGCTAAAATCATAGAACATTATGTTTAAATAAGAATCATTTCCTTTCAGTTTTTATATGCCTTAGAGAAAAAGAAACCACATATGGACTATAGCCAGACAAGAGAAAGTTGTGAAGAACTCCTATAATAAATTTTTCATAAAAACAAACTTTGTAAATGTTCTACAAACAAGATGAATGCTTGGGATCATATGTGTTGTTTTATGTAAAATATTCTAAGTTAAACTTACAATGACTTTTATGTGTTCTGGACCCTAAGGATTTTGTAAAATTATGCATGACTTTAAGTTCATTTCTAATGTAGCATTTTCCCAAATTACAGTGAGTCAGGGTAAGTGAAGAGATACCACATCATAAGACAAAGTGACCATCATAGAATCTTTATTTAGTAGTGATGAGTTTATTATAAAGTTATTCTGGATATGATAGAATATTTTATAAAATGCCAAGTATGGAAAACCATGGATTCTGAAAGTCAAAATTTTAGTTTTCCTTTTTAATTTTTATTTTAATTTGAATGGCAGGCTCATGAATTTTTTTTTTTATATTCTTAGCATGGTTTTGAGATTTCTCTGTCCTTCTGACCAGCAACTTAGGGTACAGAATTTAAATCTGAATGAAAAGGGAAAGATTCATTTCAAACATATTTTCATTAAAAATTTTTTGTTTGCCCCACGGTCAAATTTTAAAATTTAATTTTTATTTTATTTCCTATGTTAGATAGAAATTTGCATTTAATCTTATAATTATGACTTTTTGTTAGTAGTGCTGAAATTTAGAGAACGTATTGTATGGTGCCTTGCAAAAATAGATATAGAAAGGTTTAGCATGCATACCAATATAGGACATTAGGCAATATTTAAGCACACCTACTTTACAAATCAATGCCAGTAAAGGTACTGCTGCTGGAATGAAGATAATGGAATATTTTTTTTTCTATTGTTACATAATTGACATGTGGACTTGTTTATATTACTGTGTAAAGTAACATTTAATATTTAACTGTAGCAAAATTATGTTAACCACTATATTTAAGTTAGCATGTTAATTAATTCTGTAGAAGCCATCATTTTTAAGTGTATCAGACCAATGGTTTTGTGCCCATAATAAAAATGGGAAACCCTGTTGATTGTTACACTTTGGTATCTTTGATTTCAATAGTGGGTTAACTGGTTTCTTGGTATACTATTCATTGAAAGCAAAATTGGTGGACTCTTTCATTTAAACACACTAAATAAAACTTTAATGTTTACCTTAAATAATGTTTAAAGTAAAATGCATTTTCTTTTTTACTGTTTATGTATAGTTTACAAAATAAAGAATCTTGTAACCAAAGTAAACTGGTCCTTAATTATTTTTCTGAGGTATTTAAAGTAGCACAAATCTTAATCTATTTCTTGATTTTTAAAATTAACTCATCCCAAACTGGCTAAAAAAGGTTTCTGAGATATTTTGGGAGAAGGGGAGTTTGTTGTTTTTTGTTTGTTTTTGAATTTAAAAAGAATCTTGACATCTTGACTATTGTTTTCAAGGTATGTTAAAAATTATTTTTGTTTGTATTAATTTGTTTAATTTCTCATAGTATTGCAAATTAAATAATTTCTTTGTTAAAGGGGTAGTATTTTTAAACCCAGTTTTGTCACATAATACTTAACATATAAAGCTAATTTTCTGTAGTCAAAGCATATTGGAAGGTAGTTGGACAACCTCACCTGTTTACCCATTGTTTAGGAATAATGAAGCATAAATTACAGATTGGTTGGGAAAACACTAAGAAATACATTCTACACAGAAGTTTAGGAAATGAATTTTAATTAACAAATATAACAGTCTTGAAATTGAGCTACTTTTTAAAAAGTGTTACCATTCAGACTCCCAGGAAAGCAACCAAATAAATAACAAACATAAAATTGAAAACATTAATGTTCTACACTTTACATAAATTATTTGTTCACAGTATATATTTGTATGTATACATATAAAATAACATGTGTGACATGCATTAGGTCCCTTCAACATTTAAATAGTTTTAAATATTCTTAATCAATGCAATGATATTTATTTATTCTAAAACATGTAAATATTGGATATATTTAGGAAGCCAGCTCCTATTATAGGCACTACAGATTCATTTCAAAACAAAATAATGATGAAGTTGATACTCTAGAATTAAAAGTAGACGATACATTTATTTCCAGTCCATAAAAAGATGTAATTGCATTCTCCATTAGAATAAATACAAAATGATATTTTGTAGATTTAAATTAAATAAATAATAAGGTATCTTGAACCCCAATAAGAGTCATTGTTATGAATAAAATTCTATAAGGAACATTTTTAGCTAAAAATATATTTCATCCACCCTAATATTTCATTCTTCCTTACACTGAATTCTGGTTTGCAGGCATGAAATAAAACAAGCATTATATTTTAAGCTTCATTTCTCTACCATTATTTAGGAAAGACACACATAAGTCAAAAATACATGACATTATGAATCATGGAAAGTTAAAAATTAAACATTTGAGGAAAGGAGTAGGAACATAAAATTAAAATATAAAGAGTTTCTGATATATCACAAATCTACAAATTTATGAAGGCCCTTTATTGTGTGTATCAAGCACAGCAATCTGGATATCCTGCAAACTGCCATAGAGGAAAAAAGTTTAAAATAAACATAAAACATTTTAATATTGATCAAAATGTTATATGACCTAAGACAAGCACTGTGTTTCTGTCAGTCATCTAATAGAATAAAATCCATCAATTACCAAGATTATACTAATAATTAATAAAACATGTGCTAAGGGCACTTTATTCTCTGTAGACATTTTAATATTACTTTATCTGAATCTAAAGAAAATGTGAATAATAACTAATGAAAATTCAGCAATATGGCATGCTGATAGTTTATTTAGCATGGGTTTATGGATTTAACAAACTGCAAAAATAAACCAATGCTTTGTTACAAGTGTTTTGATGACTTGTTTCATATAAAATGAATGATGTCTCAACTTCATATATTAGTATAATTCAGGGCCCTCTATACAGACCAGTTTTCAAGATACTTAATAATCAGGAGAAATGTGAAGAAATAATCCGCACCAGAGCAATCATTGGTGATGAGTTTGTTTTGCCTGACATACACACTCATGCATGTACCCACAGAATTAGCATAATTTGGGCCTGAAGTTTACAAAAATAAACTGAATAGATTCACATTTATTTCTCTTATCTCATTAATAATGAATGGACCATTTCATAGATTCAGACAAAGTAAGAAAACACGAACATCCAAAGTATGTGAAGTGGTATGATGATATAAGAAAGTGAGACTATGAATTCCAATGAAATTTATTCTTTCCAACATTGTTTAACCCTAATAGTTAATATTGAGATGAATGTAATGAAAAAGGCATTTTCATTCATTTTAGAACATATCTTTTGTGAAATAATATCAGCTTTTCATTCCTGTCCTAAAAATGTTTCATGAATTATAACTTGACTTAACAAACTTTTATCAATGATCAAGTCACGAACACTTTAAAGGGAACATCTTAACATTAGCTATATAAAACATATATGCCATCTGTCCTGGAGTAAGGCAATTTGAAAGAGTCTTTCTCTGTGCCATTATTTTCATGGTTTAGTTGTGTATAATTTTTTCCATCTTTGTGCTACCCTTTTAATAAATTTCTATGTTTCTCATAAAAAACTTAGCAAACAAATGGATTAATCAGTACATACTGAAACATGAAGTGACACAATAAAAATCTGTGTTCAAAAGATGAGAAGAAATTTCATCAATCTGTACATCTTAGTACATCATATTCAGCTAGTTTAAAAACAACATTGAAGAATTTATCTTTCATGTGTTTACGATGATAACTAACCCTATGATCTTTAAACCAGTCATAGTTGTTGAATAATAGGACAGCAAGGCTATAAACAGTAAGTGATAGAGGGGTTAATCTGACTGAAGTATAATATAAAAAGTTTGAAATACTATGGCAAAACCACATTTAACAAGCAATATATGCATAGAAAATGAAGGAAAGAAAGTTAAAACAGGTCCTGTTTAGAAGTAGGTACTAATGGGAAGAGATGGGGGGGGGAAATGGAGATGGTGAGGAGGGTGAATATGGACACTGTACTATCTATACATGTATGAAAACAGAACAATGAAACCTGATGAAATTTTTCTAAGAAGAAGGGAAGGGAGGATGAAGGAGAATGATTGAGGTGGTGAATATAATTAAGACATATTTGTAAGCACATATGCAAATGTCACAATGGAACCCCTTTCTACAAGTAATATATGCTAATATATGCTAATAAAATGTAAGAAAAAGAAACAAAACCCACAAACATTGCCTGAGTTTGAGACTGTCTTACCTTTCTCCTTTGCCAAATTTAGCTTACTCTGATGAGTCTTGAGGAGTGTATGAAAGTTACATAAGAAACAAATCCAGAGCCAAGAGCTTGTGTCTGTCATATAATAGGTGTCCACTAAGCATCAATTAATTTTTTAAATATAAGCAACAGTAGTCTTACACTAATACCACCTTCCTATATAAGATGCAATATGTATTGGAAGTCATCTCAAGTCCCTCTAAAATGAAGCACAGAATTAATAAAATCAGCTGTTAAATAGGAATACTTGTATAGTAATATAGAAATTACATCTTCTGGAGTTATGTGTTTTCCTTAGTTTTTGTTGGTACTGTGATTCGAATGAACTCACAGCTTCATGCTTGTTAGGCTGTTCTCTACTTTTTGAACCACATCTCCAGCCTTTTCTGTTCTAGTTATTTTGGAGATCAAGTCCTACTGTTTGCTCAGGCAGGCCTAGACCATAATTCTCCTAT